TCCCAGTGCATTGGGACCCCACAACCACTTAGTGTCCTCTCCCCAACCGTCAGCCTGGCTCAATCTTGTAGCTGAGGGATTATAATAAAGCATTTTAAATAAATGCTTAAGTTTTATCAGAATACAGGGCAAGTTCATGTATAGAGACAAAACCCATAGCTATACAGTGAAAAGGCTAACAAACAATAGTTCTCTGCAGACTGAAACGCTGCAATACAAATCTGAAAAAAAAATTACCTGAATATCTTGCAGGCAAATTTCATGAGCATCCAAGGAACACTGTAGTCTTGGTTCTAGTAGTTTTTTTAAATTGCCAATTGGTTCATTGATGTCTATGGCCTGGCTTACACATTCGGCTGGGGTGTAGGTTTGTTCTACAATGCTAAATGTTAAAGGAAATAAAAGTTAATAATTAAATTGTTTCCCTGGATATTAAAGTGATAATATCCTCAAAACAAAATTCAACACCAAAGCACATTTATGGTTTTTGAAAACACATTTTTTCTTAGATACTGTGGTAGGTTCAACACTAACCTGCGTTGCCAAACTAAACACTGAATGTCACAGCTAACTTGAAATTTAAAGCATTCTTCAAAATATATCTCATTACATAACACTCAAATTTAACTTAGCTAGACTCAACTACAGTCCCTACTTTTTTAAGAGCAATATCCTCCCATCACTACCATTTATGATACATACAATGAAAGGTAAGATTTCATTAAGACATTTCAACTTATTGCACAACAAAAATCTCAAAAACAGCAACACACATATGTTAAGTTTACATGTATACACATATAGACACTCCTTATACAATATATAAGGGAAAATATTTGTATTTATATTAGATTTTCAAGTCATTTGAAAGAAATAACATTTACATGCCATTGCTACTAGTCAGTTTCCCTTCCCAACATAAACATAATCTAATAAGTATAAAATAAGATAAAAGTATTCCTTTCATTCAATCTTAGCACTACTAAATTACCATAGTTCCACATTTTTTAAAAAGCATATTGTTCCTTAAAACTTTTTTAGAGCTCTTTAGTGTTATTTTTTATTCAAAAGCATTAAAATACTTCGTAAGTAATTCTACATATTTCTTAATGTTTATATGAGTCTGAACAAAAGCCAGAAAATGCTGGGTATGGTGGTACATGCATGTAATTCTAGCTACCTGAGGGGCTGAAGCAAGAGAACCCATCCTAAGGTCAAGTCCAGCCTGGGCAAAACCTAAGCGAGACCCTGCTTCCAAACAAAAAATAAAAAAGGACTAGAGGATGTAGCTCAGTAGTAGAGCTCCCCTAGTTCAATTCCCTGCTCAACAGCAGCAAGTAACTGCTGAGTTGATGAATGTGAAATTCAGGTAAATTTCACAACATGAGTAATTTAAATATAATTTTTTTTTTTTTTTGGTATAAGGAATTGAACTCAGGACCTTGTGCTTGACAGGCAGGCACTTATGCCACTGAGCTATATCCTCGGCCCTATAATTTAAATCTCAGGTGCAATTGTCAAAAACAGTATGTATTGAAAAAACTGCCAACTTTCATTTAAATAAATTCTAAGGATAATCATATATATCCATGATATTAAATGAATGTATATAGCTCAAATTTTTCTTAAAACATTGAAAATTTACAAAACAGACCACTCGTGACCAAAACTACAAACTTTTAAAAGAATAACTGTACACTATTTTTATCTGTTAAGATGAAAAACTACTGGCTAAGTAAGCATTTCTGCCAAAATTTTCAGCTACAGTACAAGAGGCTACCATTTCCTTTTTTTTTTTTTTTTTCCATTTCCTTTTTTATAACGATTTTAAAAGATTCTGATGTTGTTTTAAGACAGATTTCTGAAAGTCTTATTTCATATATGCTGAATATTAAAAGTCTTTCAAAATGTTATGATCTAAACCATGGGAAATAAAAAAAAAATTTGAACTACCAGTTTCTCTTGGAAAGAAAACATGGTGGTCTCATAACACTGGCCCTAAGTTCCTGGAAAGTAACAATCTGCTATAGCTGAAAAGCAACTAGTGACTCCTCATATAGGTCGCCACAGAAACTATTGATTTTTCTACCTCGACACATGTAAAGGGCTAAAAAGTAAGTACTTTAGGCTTTATAGACCAATTGGAGGTATGTGTATTAAAATAAACATATTCATGGCAGGCTTCAAGAGAGTTCCCAATGGTTTTCACTTCCTAATATTCATAACCTTTCCTAGTTGGCTCCCACACTGTACCAGGGTTGGAATATGTGGCCAAAAACCTAACGCAAGTGTGTTACATAATTTCATAGATTTGGTTATTAACCTAAAAAGACATTGTGGCTTCCATTTTGGTAGCCTCTCTCAGATCATCTGCTTTAGGGGAAGCCAGTTATCATGCCATGAGCAGCTATAGAAAGAGGCCCACACAGTAAGGCACTGAGGCGTCCTTGTAAGAGGCTCATGAGTGAGTTTAGAACTAGATACTCTAGTTCCAGTCAAGTTTTTGGATGATTCTAGCTCAGACTGACAACCTAACTGCAAACTCATGCAATACCCAGAAGAGTCAGAACAACCCAGCTAAAGTATTTTAAGGTTCCTGATCCTATAAGAACAATGTTCAGCATTAAATGTTGGGGAGCAGGGGTGTAGTTCAAAGGTAGACAGCTTGTCTAGTATGCCTGAAGCCCTGAGTTTGATCCCCAGCACCACAAAAACAAACAAAACAAAACATAACATGTCAGGTATTTTAACCCACTAAGTTTTGGGTTAGTTTGTTACACATATATATGTTTAAATGGAAATCAAAAGAACCATGCAGTGTATTTTCTGTTGGAAAACAACATAAACAGGCATGCTGAAAGCTCTATTAGACATAAAATTTTAAACTTTAGCTATACCCTTAATTCAGTAGTAGGATTAATTTTAGTTATGCTGTCCTGTCCTGTTACTCGACAAAGATCCTCTACTACTCTGCAGTCCCTTTTACTTTAATACCAACCTTTCTTCTGTGCACTCTGGTTTCTCAGTCCCATCAATCTCAATTTCTATCAACTCTTCTGCTTCTCTCTTAGTCATGGTTGAAGTATTTCAAGAGCTTAGTCCTGAAAGAGTTAAATTTTCAGTTTTGAAATTATCTGCATAAACTGAAAGGATGCACAAGATGCACAGACAAAATTCACTTTTTTTTGGTACAGGGAATCAAACTCAGGGCCTCATGCTTGCCAGGCAGGCGCTGTGCTGCTGAGCTATATCCCCAGCACAAAATTCAAATAAAAGCAAAAGAGGGGGAAATATTCTTCACACATAGAAGAATCCACAATGATGTTCATAAGCTAGTTTTTGTTTAAACTGGTGTTTATTAGCCATAGTAAATCTTTGTAAAAAAGTTAACTGAAGGTACTTCACAATCAAGTGAAGGTTATGTTAACTACATTAAAGCAAGTCAGATTCAAACTTGAAGCTTAACATGGAGAAGAACAACTGATTAGCTGAAAGTTCCACCTTATTAGCAATATTTACTGCAAAGTATAATACTGAGAGTGACATAAATTAACCTAATCACATCTAGAATTTGTTACAAATTATAAATGCAAATACAATATTCCAAAATAGTAAAATAAAGAAGTTATACATATGCACACTATTGCCCCAATTATACACTAAAATTTAAAAAATTGTTTTTCAGATCTGTTTGTATTTTAAACAAACTATTACCTCAGTTTTTAATCATCTCATATAAATTACTTACTTCTTTAAAAGACCAAGACTAAAATATTACAACTTTTAAAATGTCAAGTAAGGCACAGAACAGCTAAAAATACTGATATTTCTTTGTAAACCACTTTGAGGTGTTAATGCTGCAATTTCCAGGCTCTGTTACCACCTTACGGCAGGTCAATGCATATCTCTGGATGCATATTATCTTAGTGCACAGCACCGTCAGCCTAGAGTTTCTGAGGTTTATTTCCACATCTAAAATAGATACATTTCCCTAAATTTGGTGCCCTTACATTTGCTGAGTAGTCTGTACTCCTTAGAAGATTTGACAAAATGAATTCAAATATTCATTCCTATTAACAATAACCATTATTACTCAGTGCCGGATGATGCTTTCAAATGTTTTATACAGAAAAAGCCTTCGTTTAAGCTACTCTCATATGAACATTATCTAGAGGTTAGCGAGACTAAACTGCCCATAACTCTGTGTTGTAACTTCAGGCATATCATAGCTAGGCATAGTAGTATATGCCTGTAATCACAGCACTTGGGAGGCTGAGACAAGATGACTCCAAGTTTGAGTCCCACCTGGGCAATTTGGTGAGACCCCTATCTCAAAATGAAAAACAAAGGGGGTGGGGTAGCTAAGTGTGAAGTACCTGGGTTCAATTCCCATTACTCCAAAAATAACAGGTTGGTAGTGGCACATGCCTGTAACCCCACCACTTTAGGAGGCCGAGGCTGAAGGATCGAAAGTTCAAGCCCAGCCTGGGCAACTTAGTGAGACCCTTTCTTAAAAAGAAAAAGATCAGGAATACAGCTCAGTGCCGAAGTTCTGGGTCTAAGTCTTAGTACTACATAGAAAAATCAAAACAACAGGAAAAAGAACAGATGTATCTACCTAAATACACAAGTGGGGCCAAACTATGGTTTGTACAGACACAGGCTCTGTGCTGCATGTACTACTACAAAAGCCACCCCTTTCCTGGACTAGTCTCTTAATAGGGTTTGGTGTGTGCCCCCCACACTCTCAGTAAAACAGCCGGTGTGATCCTTTTAAAAGCATTCAGATCACAGCACTTCCCTTACAGATTCTAGTCACAGTAAAATCCAGACTTCCCAATGGTCAATAAGGCACTGCATGATCTTCCCCTCATCTGTATCCCCTATTGCTGACTCCCTCTCCATATTAGCTTCTTCGCACCTTCCTGCCCTCTCTTCTTTGCTTCTGCCTGAAACTGACCTGCCCCAACTATCCTTCTGCCTGAATCTCAGCTTCTCAATGAAACTAAATTTACATTGACCATGCTCATTTAATTGTTGTTTCTTCTTTACACTTTTTCCACAGCACTTATTAATATACCACATAATTATTATATTTATTGTCTTTCTTCCTCTGCTGGATCTCTAACGAAATGCAAAGACAAAAAATTGCCTGAAAGTGATGAGTTGGGTTTGTCTGGTCTAGGTACTTCCCCTACTACTTTCCTGCAGTGGGAGAGGCTTTACTAGGTCTTAACTTTTTAAGAGACTGAGGCCTGGGTGGTAGAATAATCCAGTACCAGTGAATCTTAAATTACATGGCAAAGGGGATTAACATGATAGAGGAGGATGGGTTGGGGATTTAGCTCAGCGGCACAGCGCCTGCCTGGCAAGCGCAAGGTCGTGAGTTTGGTTGCCGGTACCGGAAGAAAAAAAAAAGATTTATACTAATGTGATAGAGTAAATTAAAATTACTAATCATCTTGACTTTAAAATACAGATTACCTGGGTGTAATGGTTCACACCTGTGAACTCAGCAGCAACGCCTGAGGCAGGAGGCTCACTATAAGTTCAAGGCTCGCCTGAACTATACAGCAAAACCTTGACTCAAAAAACCCAAACCAAACCACATGAAACCAAAGACATACAGAAATAGAGATTATCCTGGATTATCCTGATGGACCCAATGAAATCACAGGGGCCTTAAAAGTAGAAGAACTGGAAAAGAAGGCTAGAGCGTCTCAGTGTGAGAAAGGACTCAACTGGTCAGCTACCATTGAGAATGGAGAAAAGTAGTCACAAGCCAAGGGATGGGGTTGTCCCTTGGAGACTCTAGGAGAAATGTAGCCTGCCAATACCTGACTCAAGCCTAGAGATCTACTTCAGACTTACAACTTCCACAACTGTAAAATATTAAGTTATGGTGCTTACCAGTTACTAAACTTGCAGTAATTTGTTAAAATCACAGTAGAAAACTAAGACGGTCTCCCTTTCCAGTTTAGAAAGGGTTGTAGAGGTCCCATTATCTCCAATTACTAGATGGCAGGAATTCTGACAACTTCAGTCTGTAAACAGCTGGCACCTAAATCTAGTCTGGTACAAAAACAACCTATCTCCCCCATTATTAAAGCTGCACCAAAAGGAGAAGGAATACTAAGGAGGCAGAAGTCTGCACTGGAGAACACAGGTATCACACGTGTCCAGCACATATACAGGCTACAGCACCTATCTCTTTGGGAGTATGAAAAGATAAACGTTTTCTTTCTTTCTTTCTTTCTTTTTTTGTCTTTTTGAGACAGGGTCTCACTATGCAGTTCAGGCTGGTCTTGAACTCACAATGATCCTCTTGCTTTAGCCTCCCCAAGTGCTGGGATTATACGTGTGTGCCACCACGCTTGGTGAATCTATTTTGTTTTCTTTTTGGATATTCGCATAAAGTCTTTCCCTGGTTGGACATGATGGCACAAGCCTGTAATCCCAGCACTCAAAACTGAGGAAGAAGGATTAATGTGAGTTTGAGGTTAGCCTCGGCTAGAAAATGAGTTCAAGGCCAGCCTGAACTGCATAGTGAAACCCTGTCTGAAAGACAAAAAAGAAAGTCTTCCCTCCCCAGTGAAATCTACTTCTTAACTAGTGCTATTGAAAAATGGTGGGATTCATCAACATTGCAAAACAGGTGATTAGTAGAAACTGACCTTGTAGAACAATATAAACTTCAAGTGTAATAAAAGCAGGGGTATTTGTTCAGATCTATACAAATTAAAGTTTTTCATCTTTAGTCGTCCATTTATTTGTTTTGAAGAAATGAATTTCATTTGGACTGTTTCACACCATAAAGAATGAATTCCAGATGCCTTAAAGGCTTAAGGCTAAGACTATAAAGCTAATAAAACAAAAAAAGAGTGGACTGGGGATTTAGCTCAGCGGCACAGCACCTGCCTGGCAAGCGTGAGGTTGTGAGTTCGATTCCTGGTACCAGAAAAGAAAAAAAAAAAAAAGAGGATTTTTCTTCCATAGTCCAAGGACAGAAAAGGATTTTTTAAAAATTCCCAACACATAAACATAAGAAGTGAATTACATAGATTAAGATTTATGTTCAATACACAATTTACAGAGTGAAAAAAGGTATCTCTAACACTTAAAAGTGACATGGGCCTAAAAAAATGGAGTAGACAAGAACCTCTAGGAAGATGATTGAAAAAAAAAAAAAGCTGGGACAAATTAGAAAGGCAGAGAAAGCCTAGGCAAAGGAAATTGAAACTCAAATGACTCAGGATATAAGGAAATGCTTAAATTCAAATTATTCAAAAATGCAATTTAAAACAAGAAACTAGAACTTCACATGTATGCGTGCACATGCACACCCACACCCACATGCACCTGTGGCCAATGTTGGAAAGCTTAATAACCAGAAGTAGTAGCAGGGGCACGGGGACATAAAACTCCTATCTCAGTTTAGACAGAAGCAGTTAATCCCGAGAAAAATCTTGCAGTTCTCAAATCAAGCACACTTACACCTAAGACCCAGCAATCTCACTGCCAGATAAACATTCCAGAGAAGTTCTCAAATTACTTCATATTATGTTCAGGGCAGATTCACTAGCAGTAGTTGGGAGCTGATGTCAGTCCAAGTTTTTAGCTTAAGAAAATACCCATTAAAGAAAAACATATAAAAATGACATAAAACTAAATGTGAGCATCTGTCAAAAATATGGAAAGATGTGGTGGCGCACGCCTGTAATCCCAGCACTTGGGAGGCTGAGGCAGGAGGATCATCGAGAGTTAGAGACCAGCCTGGGCTACAAAGTGACCTCAAGGCCAGCCTGAACTGCATAGTGA